TGGTTAAGGAAGGACTAGAATTCACAGCCTCCTGGTGATTGGCCCAAGTCACCTAACCAGCTTTCGTGGTTAAGGAAGGACTAGAATTCACAGCCTCCTGGTGATTGGCCCAAAGTCACCTAACCAGCTTTCATGGTTAAGGAAGGACTAGAATTCAACCTTCCAGTTTCTAGCCCGATACCTTAACCACTAAACCAAGGATCTTCAAACTTGGCAAGTTTAAGACTTATGGACTTCAACTCCCAGAATCCCTGAGCTAATGTCAGCGTTCCATCTAAACCAAACTCCAATTAAAAACTCCGAGACAGGCATGACTGGAGGAGGAATTCTGGGAGTTGAAGTCCACAAGTCCTAAAGCTGTCAAGTTTGAAAACCCCTGCACTAAACCAGCATTCAATACCTTGCAGTAAGCTGTAATGAATATTGATAGGTCCTATAGACCTATACATTTAATTAATAACATCCCTACTAATAATACCCCAATTCCCATATTGCACAGCAATTCCCAGACATACTATGTCACCTCATTTCTTTTTATAACCAGAAAGGGACTCAAAAATATTCAAAGCAAACATGGTTAGTCCATCTGCAACCTATTCTACTGCATTCGGTGGTATTGTCATCAGCCAAAGCATTGACAAGAGTTTCTTCACAGAGAATTCAGACACACAATGGGCTCAACTTTGTTCGTAAGTCGAGGACCACCTGGTGATCACTGGGAGTTAAGATCCTTAACTTTTTTTTTAAACGTTTGCAGGTACTCCTTGACTTACAACCATTTAAATGACAGTCTGAAGTTACACCGGCACCGAAAAAAGTGACTTATGACCATTTTTTCACACTTAACCATGTTATTAACTTAATGACGATTCACTTAATACCTGCGGCAGGAAAGGTCATAAAATGGGACAAACCTCACTTAACAAATGTCTCACTTAGCAACAGAAATGTTGGGTTCAATTGTGGTCATAAGTCAAGGACTACCTGTTGGGTATAACATTGATACACCAACTAAGTTTGGGTGAATAAATATATAAACCAAGGTTTAGGTGTTTGTAACTTGTAGCTTTAAGCACCAAACTGCTTGTAATTAACTAATTAAGGGTGCGGTTACAAACGGCAATAAAAGGCAGTAAGAGAAACGTAACCTCTCTCTGCTTGTTCTCTCTGCTTGTTGGCTACTGTGCTGGATACTATTTGTTTGCTACTGTTTGAATACTGTTTTTGCTGAACGAAAGGACTATTTTCCTTGGTGAGCTGATATCCTGTGAATACTCAGCGTTGTCTTCAAGATAAAGGTATCGGGAGGAGAAGATATCTTTACAAGCAGATAAGGATATAGTTCTGACTAGTAAATGGACTAAGTTACTGAATGGATATATTTGTGAATGACGTATGGACTGATTGACAATGCTTAAACTCTGATTGGATTAAACAACTATTTAAAACTACAAACAGTGTTTGTCTCCAGTGTGTGTATACTCTTGGGCCCATCCTCTCTCATTTGGCTGCCTGGCTTGACTGCTGCTGCACATTCTGTTTGGGGGTTTGTCCCCAAACACTAACATTACCTGTACTTTATGTAATATTAAGAAAATTTAAAAACTTCCCGGGGGGTGGGGAGAAGTGCTATGCAACGTGCAAAGCCTACAAAAATCAAATTTACCTCTCTAATCCAGATATTATAATCGATCTATCATAAAAGCTATATATTATGTATGTATGTATGTATGTATGTATGTAAAAACACATCATCACAAAATCTCTATAACCATAAAGCCTACAAACTTGAAACTTGGCACGTATCTTCCTCTTGGCTTCTAGGTGCTCACTAAGAAAGGGTTTTTCAAAATGACCATCAGAGCATTTAGAGTATTTCCTATATTATTATTATTAACACGCTCTGATGCTAAGGAGTTCTACTCCCCCTCCACACCTGAAAAGAAATCTCTTCCAAATGCAAAACACAAGCAGGAGTTTCCGTTTTGGTTTTAGTTCCAAGCACCAAGCAGCTTTAGTACAGAACAGTTGAGCTAAGCCACACCCAGGCTCCTTGCTGTCTCCTTCTTGCTCACACAGCAAATACTGTTTCAGTTTCCAAACAGCCCTCAACTCTCTGACACACTGACAGGACGCTAGCCAGATGAATCCTGATGGATGCTGGTGGGCAGAGGCAGAATTTTCTTTTCCTTATTTTCCTCCCCAAAAACTAAGCCCGACCACAGAGTTTCCTAGCGAAGCACGGGTATCCAGCTAGTATGCAATTAAAAAAAGGAAATTATAATAGAAATGTTGGAATTACTTGGAAAGAAGTTTAAAGGGGCAGCCACCTAAATGTGAAAAAATTAAGAGGAGCATAAATGGAGCCAACGGCAAGCGCTGCCATCTCATAGGCAGGAAGCAAAACCGTGGCAGGGGCTCTACCACCCACTTACTCCGGGGTAAGTTTGGGGCACCCACTATGAACTACAGATCTGCATTTAGCCACTTTCTACGGAAGCCTAGCCGGGACATGCCAAACGCTTCGTCTCTCCCGCCTTCAGTTCCTAAGAGGCCAATCACAGCACCACAAAAAAAGACCCGCCCCTCACTTCGACCAATCAGAAGCTATCTTGTCGGGGCGCAGGACTCGAGCCAACCAATCCGCGGGCGCCACCTAAGTCCTCTGCCCTGCCTCGTTCGCTTTCTCACCAGGTTTTGCGAATACGAATGAACCATCCCGCCGGGTCTGACATCGAAGTCGGCCGTGATGGGCTCCTGCTTTGCCCCGACCGCCGAGAGAAGGAGCTGCAGGAGGAAGAAAGACGTCCAGCTGTCCCAAAGCCTCCGGTTGCCGAGTAACCTGGGCGCCACCATCTTGGAAGAAGAAACAAACAAACAAAAAAAAAACCCGCGGCCAGCTGATTGAGCTACGGGGAGCTGGAGCAGCCAAAGCGCGTTATACTGTTTCAGCGCAGGCGCTTCTGTTTCCGGGAGGCCCAAGGCGACCATCTTTTAAGCGGGCGCCGGCGGATATTCAGTGGGAGTTGCCCAGATTTGGGCTGGAAAATGCGGGCGACCTGTAGAGGGCAGCAAAGAATGCCAAAGTTAGGGCCTCTCTGCTACCATTGGCTAGCAAGGGAATTCTGGGAGTTGGAGTTCGCACGGCTCCGCGTTGCCCAAGTTGAAAAACGCTACTGCAAAGCAGTGGAAAAAAATCAGTTTGTTGTTATGAAAAATTGTCTGAGTCATCGTTGCACTGACCTACACCGTATCTCTGTGTAGGCAACCGGTATTGTATGGTCCTCGCATACAACATGAGCAGGAAGGAGGAAGATGAGGCACTAGCTAAATTTAATAAAAGATTTTAAAATAAATAAGTAGTTGCATTACTATTTAGGACCCAATGAAACAGCTACAAGAGGTAGAAAATTCAGAAGCTGAGGAAAGGAGGAGCAAAGAGCCAATTTGGTCTATAGGTTAAGGCAGAGGTCTCCAAACTTGGCAACTTTTAAGACTTGTGGACTTCAACGCCCAGAATTCCTGAGCTCACATGGACTGGAGGAGGAATTCTGGGAGTTGAAGTCCACAAGTCTTAAAAGTTGCCAAGTTTGGAGACGTCTGGGTTAGGGCATCAGGATGAAAACCAGGAGACTTGTGAGTTCTAGTACTTTTTTTAGCCATGAAAACTGGCTGGGTGACTTTGGGCCAAACACTAGGAGCTGGTGAGTTCTAGTCCTGCCTTAGCCATGAAAGCCCCCTGGGTGACTTTGGGCCAATCACCAGAAGACTATGAGCTCTAGTTCTGGCTTAACCATAAAGACCATCTGGGTGACTTTGGGGCCAATCGCCAGGAGAACGGTGACTTCTAGTTCCTCCTTAGCCATGAAAGCCCCCTGGGTGACCTTGGGCCAGTCACCAGGAGACTGAGAATTCTAGTCCTGCCTTAGCTATGAAAGCCAACTGGGTGACTCTGGGCCAATCAACAGGAGATGTTGAGTTCTAGTCCTGCCTTAGCCATGAAAGTCCCCTGGGTGACTTATTATTATTAACTTTATTGTCAGAGTACAACATGTGTATAATGAGATTGGCTGAGCCTCCCTTCATGCAACCACCCCGCCTCCACACACACACACACAACTCACAGTGAGGACAGAAGTCCCTAACCCAGTCCCAATCTTATTACACCATGTGACCTTGTTGTACAACGCGCCCGACCCCGCAAGTCTATCATACTATCTTGACATGAAGTTATTTTCCGTTCAGGAGTCTGACAGCCCACGGGTAGAACTGTGCCTGTTGGTGCAGCTGGCTCTGCTTCTCTATCTCCTATCCGGATGGTAAGAGAGGGAAGAAGGGCTGACCGGGATGTGAGTCGTCCCTGAGGATTTTCTTTGCTCTTCTAAGGCCCTAGCGAGGTCATCTAGTGGTATCAGGAAACAGCCCACAATGTTTTGGGCTGTGCTCACCACCCTCTGTAATATCTTTCTATCCGTGGCTGTCAAGCCAGCATACCACACGGTCATGCAATATGAGAGGACGCTTTCTATTATGAAACGGTCAAAGATGGTCATCGGTCATTGTTCCACTTTATTATTTTGCAAGACCCTGAGGAAATGAAGTCTCTGTTGGGCCTTTCTGGCCACCTGGGCTGTGTTGATTTTCCAGGTGAGATCTTCACTGAGGTAGACTTAGTAAGACCACACCTAGAGTCCTGAGACTCTAGAAAAAGTGCAGAGAAGAGCAACCAGGAGGATTAGGGGACTGGAGGCTAAAACATACAATGAACGGTTGCAGGAGCTGGGCTAGTCTAGTCTAGGGAAGAGAAGGACCAGGGGAGACAGGAGAGCAGTCTTCCAATATTTGAGGGGCTGCCACAGAGAGGAGGGAAGGGGTCAAGCTATTTTCTAAGGCACCAGAAGGCCAGACAAGGAACAATGGAAGGAAACTGAACAAGGACAGATTCAATCTGGAAATAAGGAGAAATTTCCTGACAATGAGAATAATCCACCCATGGAACAGAAGTTTCCCTCAGAAGTTGTGTGAGTTTCATCACTGGAAACTTTCAAGGAGAAACTGGACCTATCAGAAATTGTAAAGAGTCTCCTGCTTGGGTGGGAGGGTGGGGGTTGGACTAGATGACCTATAAAGTCCCTTCCAACTCTGATTATCTGTTAAGTCTCCCAGGAATTTAAAGGAGGAAACCCTGTCCACACAGCTCCCCTCGATGTAAACTGGGGCAGGTTCCTTCAGGCTAATCACCAGGAGGTGGTGAGTTCTAGTCCCACCTTAGCCATGGAAGCCCCCCGGGTGACTCTGGGCCAGTCAACAGGACACAGTGAGTTCTGGAATTAAGGAGAAACTTCTTAACAGTGAGGACAATTAACCAGTGGAACATACTTGCCTCCAGAAGTTGTGTGTGCTTCATCACTGGAGGTTTGTAAGAAGATACCGAAAGCCACTTGTCTGAAATGGTATAGGTTTTCCTGTTTCAGCAGGGGGCTGGACTAGATGACCTCCAAGGTCCCTTTCCAGCTCTATTCTGATTGATTGATTGACTCTTAATGACCACCTAAATAGACTTTCTCCCAAATGATTTTTGCTCAGCCTGCCCTTAAGGTCTCTCAATCACGCATTTAGGAATCCAGAAATGAATGATGGATTTATTTATTGCTGTACTAAATAAATGAATCCATCGACCGTGTCTTTCTCTTCTTGTTCCTTATTTACACCCTGTTATCAACGGCAAAGCACGGGGTTCCTGAGGGTTTTCTTCATCAATTTTAATAACCGCACTCATTTTCTTAACAATCCCTCTGGGCAACACGGTGCTCTTTTATTGCTTTTTTTTTTTTTTTAAAAGTGTCAGCTGTCAAAATTGTTCCGGATCTGATCAAGGCCTCGAAAATGTCTCTCTAAGTAAATTCAAACTTTCCCTCAAGAGATATTCAGCATACAAATTATGTTATCTGGCAGCTCTGATGAGGACAGTCAAGGCAGATAGTGAAAAGTGGGAGTGAAATATAAAGAAAACCAAACTAACGGTCATAAGTATGTCAACCAGCTGTAGAACGGACAAGAGAGATCATCGCGTTTGATCATCGGTGTTTCCCCGAAAATAAGACCCTAGAGTGCTGCACGCTAACCACTGCACCACCATGGTTCTTTTTAAGTCGTGGGCTACCTATATTCTGTTATTCAAATTAAATGAACCAGCTGGCTATCCCTTCCGTGGAACCTTCTTCCCCAAAGCCAGGACCTCCCAAAAGGAGTTTTGGAAGAAGAAATTAAATTAAATTAAAATAATAATAACATAAAAGGTAAAATAAAATAATATAAAATAAAATGAACATGAGAAGAGACTGGACAGCCACTTGTCTGAAATGGTACTTGCGGGGGGAGTTGGACTAGTTCAGGGGTAGAGAAACTTGGCTCTTTTATATCACTTATGGACTTCAACTCCCAGAATTCCTGAGGGAGCCATAAAAGGTTCCCCATCCGTGGCCTACTGGTTTTCCAGTCGTGGGGGAAATTATTTTTGACAATGAATGGGACTGTTTAATATACAAATGAAGAATATACAAAGAATATGTCCTACATTTGTATATTAAACAGTCCCATTCAAGTCAAACATCGATTTCCCTCACAACTGGAAAAACCAGTAGGCCAGGCATGGGGAACCTTTTATGGCTCCCTCGGGAATTCTGGGAGTTGAAGTCCATCAGTGATCAAAGAGCCAAATTTCCCTACCCCTGGACTAGATAATCTCCCAAGCCCCTTCTAACTTTGTTATTCTATGTTCTTCTAATCCATTAAAATTATCTCGGTGTAGACCAGGGGTATCCAACCTTGACAACTTTAAGACTTGTGGACTTCAACTCCCAGAATTCCTCAGCCAGCTTTGCCAAAACGAATGCTTTAGGGGTAGTCCTGAACTTACAACAGTTCACTTAGCAACCGTTCAAAGTTACAACGACACAGAAAAATGACTTAGGACCATTGTTCACACTTAATGACCGTTACAGCATTCTCCAGGGTCATGTGATCAAAATTCAGTCGCTTGACAACAGATTCGTATTTATGACGGTTGCAGTGTCCCAGGGTCCTGTGATCCCCTTTTGTGACCTTCTGACAAGCAAAAATAATGGTGGGGTGGGGACGGGAGTGGGAAGCCTGATTCACTTAACAACCAGGTTACTAACTGGCAAGGAGGAAGGCTGTCAAACGGGACAAAAATTCCCTTCACGAATTTTCACTTACCAGCAGAAAATTTGGGCCCAATTGTGGTTGCAGGCTGAGGACTACTTGTTCAATTCAGTGAAAAGCAATTACGTGCATTAACAGAGTAACAAGAATTGAAAGGGACCTTGGAGGTCTTCTAGTCCAACCCCTTGCTCAGGCAAGAAACTCTATCCCAGGGATGGCGAACCTTTTCGTTGTGGTGTGCCCAAAGGGCGCGTGTGCCGGCACCCACAATGCAATGTGGCCCCCCCTCTGCATGCGCACCCTTACCTACACTGTGCATACGCACACCTCCCAGCTGATTTTGGGCCCATTTGAGGCCACCTGAGGCTGTAGAGGCTTTCTTCGCACCTCCGTGAGGGCGAAAATAGCCTGAAATGGGCCAAAAATCAGCTGGGAGGCGCACGCATGCGCAGTGCAGGTATGTTTGGCTGGGGCTCGCGTGCCCACACAAATGGCTCTGCGTGTCACATGTGGCACGCGTGCCATAGGTTCACCATTATGGGTATCGAATCTCCTGCTTGAGCAGGGGTTGGACTAGAAGACCTCCAAACTCCCTTTCACCTCTCCTTCTTTTCTCTAGACTAGACATATCCAGTTTCTGCAGCCGTCGTTCCTATGTTTTAGCCTCCGGTCCCCTCGTCATCTTTCTCGCTCTTCTCCGCACTCTTTGCAGACTCTCAACAT